AAAATGGCTGTAAAAGGAGCGACCGAAAATCAAATCAAACAGCTTGAAGCCAAAAAAATAGGGGTTAAAAGAACAATATGAATTTGCTCAAAAATACAATTAAGCGACTGACCAATATGCTAAAAGATTCTTTGATATCACAACAAACTTATGATGAAACTTTTGCCAAATATCAAGGCGCTCAGGCACAATATAATGCCGTGGTTGCCGAATTGGACGATGCCAAAAAAGGTGCCCGTATCGAACAACAAACAATGGCTCTTGGTCAGCAAGACAGAGCTCTTGGCGCATTGCAGGAGGTAGAAACTGCTGATAAGGAACGTTATATAATTGCACCACAAAATATGAGTATCGAAACTATTACTCTAAATCTTGGCGAACTGGCTTTACCTGGTTATACTTTATTCAACGGATATATTGCCAATAGTACTTATTTTAGATTTACCATACCAGAAAATCAATTGGGACAATTTAAAAAAGGTCAGCAAATAACGGTTCATGTTCCATATAAAAAAGAAGATATAAAAGGAACGATTTCTACCATAAAACAACTTGGAGCTTACGGGAATATTGCAACCGCATATCCGGATTATGAAATGCAGGAAAGTTTATTCGAAATAAAAATAACACCTTCTAACGTAGACGGAACAAAAGATCTTATTACCAAAACCACTGTTACTTTATCTCTTTAGAACTATGCAAAATTTCTTTTCATTGCTTAAACGGGAATTCAGATTATTCTGGAGCAATAAAGTCCTGAGATTGCTTTTTATTGGAGCACCAATTCTCTATGGCGTTTTATTGGGTTATGTATACGGAAAAGGCAAAGTGACCGATTTACCTATCATCATTGTTGATCAGGATCACTCTGAATTAAGCTCAAAAGCCATTCAGATGTTTGAGGATAATGAGGTGCTTTCGATTGCTTCAATCTTGTATGATCAAAACAATCTTTCGCAAATTGCCATTCAAAAAGAAGCGACTTGTGTTGTTATTATTCCGAAGGATTTTGAAAAAATGACACTTACCAAAAAGTATCCGGAGATTACCACTATAGTAAACACCTCAAATGTTCTAACCGCCAATTATGCTTCAACAGCCATACAGGTTTGTCTTGGAACATTGAAAGCCGGAGTTCAAATTGAAACCTTAAGAAAACAAGGCGTTTCTGAAAATTTACTGGCATCGCAATACGAACCTTTTAAAACTACTTTCATAAAAAAATACAACCGGAGCACCAATTATATGTATTTTCTTTGGCCGGGTGTTTTGGCGACTGTTTTACAACAAGTACTTTTATTAGGATTAGCGCTTTCATTTGCATCAGAATTCGAAAATGGAACTTTTAAAGATTTAGTAAAAAGGTGCCCATCAATTTTAAATCTATTAGCTGTAAAAATCATTCCCTACATGATTATGAGTTTAGGAATTTGGTTCATTTACTGGCTTTTTACTTTATGGTTCCGATTGCCTTTTTACGAAAATTTATTGCCGCTTACTTTTATTGCCGGCATATTTGTGCTTTCGGTTTCTTTTATTGGTATTCTGGTGAGTATTTTAGTTCCTAGTCAATTAAAAGCAACAGAGATTTTAATGGTTATTGCAACTCCAAGTTTCATCTTAAGCGGATTTACCTGGCCTTTAAGTCAAATGCCACAGGCTGTTCAGGCAATTGCGAATGTGATTCCGTTAACGCATTTCCTAAAAGCTTTTCGAATATTGATCATAGAAAAGGGAACTTTTTCTCAAACCACAAAACCTATTTGGAACATGATAATTATAGGGATAGTTTGTTTTATTGCAGCTTATATTGCTTTATACTTTAAAAAGAAAAGCGTTTTGAAATAAATTTAAAACATCTCATTTAAAATCGGATAGGAGCCTAGGAATTAATTCCCTAGGCGACCTCCCACACCACCCGGCATACGGATCCGTACCAAGACGGTTCTTAATTTACAATACATTTTTTAAATGTACTTCCTTGAGGCTGTTTTCAGTTATCCCAATAAAGGTCTGCTCTTTTTGGTAGCTCTGGGATTCCGTCCTATCCTTCCCAAGGTAGTTATCAAGTTACTTGATATATTCTGCATTCGTGCCTTCATAGGTAACATTCATTTACTGTTCATACTTAAATTCAGTCCTTCAGTGCTAAAGCACCTACTATGACCTCTGATGACTGCTTATAGCAATTGTTATCCACAGTTCTGTAAAAAAACTATGTCTATAAGACCTCCCCAGGTAAGAACAACAACTTTCCTCTCATCTGCCTGCTATATTTAACATGATGTTTTTGTGCAGTTTAGGGCTTCAGCTTGTGTTGCAACCTTATCCAACATTTCTGGCCTTATATAAAGTTTCTCTTCGTCAGGCCAAGAGTTTGCCTACTGCTTCCTTTAGATTCCACTCACGCGATGGACACCCTTGCATTCAGATAACACTTCCCACTGTAAAGGCGTGCTTGGGACTTACACCCTAGAGTTATCACCCATGCTGGGCGCACAATAAAAAAAGGCGTTAGAATTAACTAACGCCTTTTATATTATTATGTTTTTAACTAATTATTTTTCGATCTCTCGCATAGAATCCATTTTTTTATGCGCAAGGAAACCTGCTACATCTTCAAAATGTTCTTTGACACGTTTGTTTCCAAACTCAAAAACTTTAGTAGCTAATCCGTCAAGGAAATCACGGTCGTGAGAAACCAAAATCAAAGTACCGTCAAAGTCACGTAAAGCATCTTTAATGATATCCTTAGTTTTCATATCTAAGTGATTCGAAGGCTCATCCAGAATCAATAAGTTAACAGGTTCTAACAATAATTTGATCATTGCCAAACGTGTTTTTTCTCCTCCTGAAAGTACTTTTACTTTCTTGGTAATATCATCTCCCTGAAACATAAAAGCTCCAAGAATATTTTTTATTTGTGTACGAACATCTCCAACGGCAATATTATCGATGGTTTCAAAAATCGTAGCATTTTCATCTAATAAAGAAGCCTGGTTTTGTGCAAAATATCCAATTTGAGAATTGTGTCCAATTTCTACACTTCCTTCATCGATACCAATTTCTTTCATGATCGCTTTGATCATAGTCGATTTTCCTTCACCATTTTTACCTACAAAGGCCACTTTCTCGCCTCTTTCGATCACAATATTAGCATCTTTAAAAACCACATGATCTCCGTATGATTTAGAAAGTTCTTTTACTACAACCGGATATTGTCCTGAACGTGCTGCTGGTGGGAATTTTAATTTCAAAGCTGAGTTATCTACTTCATCAACTTGTACGATAACTAATTTTTCAAGCATTTTAACACGAGACTGAACGGCATCTGTTTTAGAAAAAGTTCCTTTAAAACGATCAATAAAAGCTCTGTTATCAGCAATCATTTTTTGTTGCTCATCGTACGCTTTTTGTTGGTGTACACGACGATCTTTTCTTAATTCTAAGTAATGAGAATACTTCGCTTTATAATCGTAGATTCTTCCCATTGTAACTTCGATAGTACGATTGGTAATATTATCCACAAACGCTCTATCGTGCGAAATTACTACAACCGCCTTTGCTGAATTGATCAGGAATTCTTCTAACCATTGAATACTTTCGATATCCATGTGATTGGTTGGCTCATCCAGTAAAATCAAATCCGGCTTTTGCAATAAGATTTTAGCCAACTCAATACGCATTCTCCATCCTCCTGAAAATTCAGAAGTCTGACGTGTAAAATCTTCGCGCTCAAAACCTAAACCAACTAATATTTTTTCAACTTCTGCTTCGTAATTTATTTCTTCGATGGCATAAAATTTTTCACTTAAGTCAGAAACTCTTTCGATCAATTTCATGTAAGCATCACTTTCGTAATCGGTACGAACTGTTAATTGTTCGTTTATTTCATCGATTTCAGCTTTCATTTTAAAAAATTTCACCAAAAGCTTTTTGATGCTTCTTCCATTACAGTCGAACCATCTTTGGTTAATAAATGCTGAGGCAAATAAGCCACAACAGCATCTTTTGGAGTAGAAATACTTCCCGTAGAAGGTTTGCTCTGACCTGCAATTATTTTTAAAAGTGTCGATTTTCCCGCACCATTTTTACCCATAAGGGCAATTTTATCATTTTCATTTATAGCAAAAGAAACATCGCTAAATAATGTAGTTCCACCAAACTGAACCGAAATGTCGTTAACTGTAATCATTTAGATTTTTAGATTTTTAGACTGCTTAGATTTTTAGACTTCTTAGCAAGTGTTTTTTTGAAAGCGCAAAGATAGATTTTAATTAGAATGTGCCAATGAGATAATTAGATAATTTCTTAATTAGAAAATTTGCCAATTTGAGAATGTGCCCATTAGAAAAATCTTAAAATGAAAAATATCATAATGACATATTTTTTACCACACTCAACAAATTATCTAATTGACACATTGACTAATTTTCTAATTAAAAAAATGTTCCCAAATGTTTCCAGAAACGGGGTTTTATTTTGAACTTGTATTCATACATTTGAAATACAGAAAACAGGTAAAAGATGAAAATTTTAATAATAGAGGATGAAGCTGGTTTACGTGAAGTGATACAACAATCACTTGAAAAAGAGAAATATATTGTAGAAACTGCATATGATTATATTTCAGGGCTAGACAAATTGGGCGCTTATGATTATGATTGCATTTTAATTGATATCATGCTCCCAAACGGAAACGGACTGGATTTACTGCAAGAATTAAAACGACAAAAAAAGCAAAGTGCCGTGATTATTATTTCGGCAAAAGATGCTGTCGATGATAAAGTAAAAGGACTCGATCTGGGTGCAGATGATTATTTGAGTAAACCTTTTCATTTATCTGAATTGCATGCCAGAATCAAATCCGCCATACGCAGGAACAATCATAATGGAGATAATCTGATTGTCTGGAAAAACGTAACGCTTTCTCCGGAACAAAGAACGGTTTCTATAGATAGTAAAGAGCTAATTTTAAATAGAAAGGAATTTGATTTGCTCTACTATTTCATCATTAACCCAAACCGACTTATAAATAAAACCGCTATTGCGGAATATGTTTGGGGCGACCATACCGATCAGGCAGACAATTTAGATTTTGTATATTCGCAGATTAAAAATTTACGAAAAAAACTAAAAGACAGTGATGCCGAAGTTGATATTCAGGCGGTTTATGGTATTGGATATAAAATGAATTAATGAAATTACAAAATTATACTCTTCGCTATCTGGCCATAACATTATTGCTTGTAATCCCAATTTGGGCAGGGATTTTTTATGTGCTGATTTTAGATGAAGTATATGACAATATTGATGATGATTTAAAGAACTCCAAAATCATGATCATTCGTCATGCTTTTGCCAATAAGGAATTATTGAACTCTCCTGAATTCGGAATCAATAAATTTACCATAAAACCACTTCCTAAAGGGGAATATTCTAATAAAGAGGAATTTTCGACCTCAAAAGAATTTATGGAATATGATAACGACGATGAACCCATTCGAACTTTAAAAACTGTTTTTAATGATGATAAAGGAAATCCTTATGAATTGACCATAAAAGCCTCGATTGTTGAAGAAGATGAGTTACTCGAAGATTTATTTCTGGCCTTAATAGGTTTATATGTTATGCTTGTTATTAGCATTCTGGCCGTTAACCATTTATTATTACAGAAAATCTGGAAATCTTTTTACACCATTTTAGAAAATCTGAAAGAAATAAAACTAGGAACCGGAAGCCAACTAAAAGCAATCGATTCTCCTATTGACGAATTTAATATTCTGGAAAAAGAAGTCGAGAAAATGCTCAATCGTAATGAATCGATTTATTCGAGCCAAAAACAATTTATCGAAAATGCTTCTCACGAATTGCAAACGCCTTTGGCCATTAGCATCAACAAACTCGAATTGTTTGCAGAAAATAGTGTTCTTGCCGATGAGCAATTAATGGAAATAGGAAAAATTACCGATACCTTAAGCCGATTAACGAGATTGAACAAATCTTTGCTGATGTTGTCGAAAATCGAAAACCAACAATTTTCTGAAGAGGAAGATGTTAATTTCAATAGACTTATTTTAGTACTAACAGAAGACTATTTTGATCTGGCCGATTTTAAAGAAGTAAAAATTACGGTAACCCAAAATGATACTTTATATTTTAAAATGAATAAAGGTCTGGCGATTGCTTTGATTAGTAATTTATTAAAGAATGCTTTAATACACAATCATCATAACGGTTTTGTGAATTTCATCATCAATAAAAACAACATCACAATCTCGAATAGCGGCAATAATTTTCCTTTAAACTCAGACCTTATCTTTAATAGATTCTACCGTCATACTACGACAAACGAATCTACCGGTTTAGGTTTATCGATCGTGAAATCTATTATCAATAATTATTCTATTACGATCGAATATCTATTTACCAATATTCACCAATTCAAAATTATTTTTCCAAAAAAGTAGTATTTTTCTTATTTTCCTAATTGTTTCCAAATTCAGGTTATACACTTGTATCAGAATTAAAACATACAATTATGAAAACGAAATTAAATCTGGCTGCATGCCTAGTTGTAGGATTAACATTTGGACTTTCTGCAAATGCACAAAAATCAGTGATTACAAAAGCTGCTTTACCTGCAAATGCACAAACTTTTTTAAAGACTCATTTTACAGGACAGGAACCAACTTCTATAATTGAGGATAAAGAAACATTCTCTAAAGATTACAAAGTAAGATTTGCCAACAACATTGAGGTAGAATTTGACGGAAAAGGAAATTGGGAAGAAGTCGATGGTAATCACCAAACAATTCCCGCTACTGTAATTCCTAAAAATATTGCGGCTTACATAAAAACAAATTTTCCCAATACCACAGTTACTAAAATCGACAAAGGAACCTGGGGCTACGAAGTAGATTTAAGCAATGGCATAGAACTGGAATTTAACTCAAAAGGGAATTTTTTAAGAATCGATAATTAAACAACATCAAATTAAATAATACAATCATGAAAAAAATATTTTTAACCGGCTTTATCGCTTTATCACTTTTATTTACCACTACATCATGCGATAGTGACGATGATAATAACGAATCTGTAATTAATGTTAGCGATTTACCAAAAGCTGCAGATACATTTGTTACGACTTATTTCCCTAACACGACTTATGTTACTATAACAAAGCAAAATATTGCTGATATAGACGGATCTATTTATGATGTTAAACTAAGCAATAATTTCGAAATTGATTTTGATGCCAATGGAAACTGGATCGATATAGACGGGAATCATCAGGCAGTTCCTGTTGCTCTGATTCCGGAGAAAATACAAACGTATGTAACAACAAATTACCCTAATCAGTTTGTGACTTCTATTGATAACGAAAAAACAACTGTCGAAGTTGAACTTTCTAATGATTTAGATTTAGTTTTTGATCTTCAGGGAAATTTCCTTCGAATTGATCAATAAGAATCATACATAATACTAAAAAAAGCTCCGAAATTAAAGTCGGAGCTTTTCTGGTTTAAGCTATTTCCTCTTTTAAATTCAAATCTATATTCTTACATCTTTAAAAATTTAGCCTTATCTTGTATAACAATTAAAATCAGCAAATTATGAGAATGAAATTAAACTTGATAGCCTGCCTAATTGCAGGATTAATATTTGGACTTTCTGCAAATGCACAAAAAACCGTTATTAAAAAAGAAGCTTTACCGGCAAATGCTCAAACTTTTTTAAAAACTCACTACGGATCAAAAAAGCCCAGCTATATACTAGAGGACAAAGAATTACTTTCTACAGAATACAAAGTTCAGTTTGACAATAAAACCGAAATCGAATTTGATAAAAAAGGAAACTGGAGAGAAGTAGACGGTAATGGGGATAAAATTCCTTCGTCTATTATCCCGAAAAAAATCGCTTCGTATGTAAAAACAAACTTTCGCAAAGAGAAAATAACCAAAATTGAAATAGGAACTTTTGGCTACGAAACGAAACTCACCAACGGTTTAGAATTAAAATTCAACTTAAAAGGAGATTTTACTAAAATCGATAAATAGTATTTAACTAAAATCTTACATTAATTTTTTGCCACAGATTATAGGATTATCACTGATTATTTCTCTAAAAAAAGTATAGCGTTTTCAAAAAAATCTTTTTTAATTTTATAATCTGTGGCAAAAAAATGCAAAAACAAAACCCGACAAGTTCTACAACTCATCGGGTTTACTATTATTATCTCATTATCAAATTGACTAATTATCTAATTAAAATCAGTCTTTTCTCCATTTTTTAGTTTCCTCAAAAATATGCTCTAAGATGGCAGATTCTGTTTCGTCGAAATCTATATTTCGTCTTCCCATCACTAATTTGGCAGTTTCAAATGCTTTTTTGGTTACATAAGTAGTAAATCCGGCAGCTCCACCCCAGGAAAAACTCGGTACAAAATTGCGAGGAAAACCACTTCCGAAAATATTGGCACTTACTCCTACTACAGTTCCGGTATTAAACATCGTGTTGATTCCGCATTTACTATGATCTCCCATCATCAAACCACAAAACTGAAGTCCGGTTTTGGCAAAACCTTCGGTTTCGTAACTCCATAATTTTACTTCTTCATAGTTATTTTTCAGGTTCGAATTATTACTATCAGCTCCAATATTACACCATTCGCCTAAAACAGAATCTCCTAAAAATCCGTCGTGCCCTTTGTTTGAATTGGCAAAAAGAATCGAATTTTTAACTTCTCCCCCTATTCTTGATCCCGGACCAACTGTTGTTGCACCGTACACTTTGGCGTTTAGCTTTACCTGTGAATTTTCGCATAAAGCAAAAGGACCACGAATTACGGTTCCTTCCATAATTTCGGCATTCTTACCTATATATATAGGTCCTGTTGAAGCATTCAGCGTAACAAACTCTAGTTTTGCTCCTTCTTCGATAAAAACATTCTCAGGCGCAATAACATTTACGCTTTTTGGGATGGGCTGCGATTTTCTGTCTTCGGTTAGGTAAATAAAATCTTCACGAATCGCCGCGTCGTTTTTAGAGAAAATATCCCATGTATGTTCTACAGTCAGAGCATCTCCGTTATATTGGATGATTTCGTATGAATCAAAATCTACTTCTTCCTGATTTTCTGTAGTAAAAAAAGCGATAACATCCTCCCCTTTAAAGATGGCTTGATTTTCTTTTAAATCAGAAACCAGTTCTGCAAGGGTATCATTTGGTAAATATGCCGCATTGATCATCACATTTTCTTCCATTTCCACCATTGGGAATTTGGTTGATAAGTAATCTTCGGTAATCGTTGTTATGGTCGAACCTAAACGCGCTTCCCATTTTTGGCGAATCGTCATGATTCCGATTAGTATGTCAGCAACAGGTCTTGTAAAAGTAAAAGGTAGTAAAGCATTCCGGACGGGACCGTCAAAAAGAATGTAATTCATAAATATAAAATTTGTACTTGTTAAAAT